ATATGGATAAAAGCACCCTCTGCAAAGAACCACTGGAGAAGCTTATTAGAATGCAGACTTCTACCCTGTCCACCCCCGATCCCAACAAAGACTCAGCAGGTCTAGCTGGTGGCTGGGAAGGCTGCATTGTTAAGTTGTAAGCAGGTACCTGTGTGATTCTGTGTAGACCTGGGCCTGCAGTTTGAGAAACAATGGTGTTAGAATTAGAGGTATGAATATAAAGTGCCTATTACGTATATACACATGGCTATGTAATGAATGGTGCTGCCTTTCTTCTAAGGGCCTTGTCTCAGAGTTAAGTCATTCTGTACAAGGTACCTCAGCAAGTCAGGGCAGCCAAGACCCAGTTGTTCTGACTCTGCACCTACATCTCTCTGTGCCTTCAGGACACTTAAGTGACATTCATCTGGCTGTCACCACAGGCTTCCTGTGGGTTAGCCAGACTCTTGGTTGCTTCCTCACTTCAGGGCTTTGTCTGTGGCCATGACAGCTTTCCCTAACCTCAGACTGCCCTCTAGGGACTTGAAACCGTCTCTTCAGGCTTAAATGCTACAGCAGACCCTTTCAGGGGTAAAGAACAGAGTATCCACTAACATTTCTGGAATATTCCACATCTACCTCTTGGGTGGGTATTAACAGTCCCCGTATACAGATAACGAAACGAAGGCTTCAGGTGGCACAGGGAGATGTGAAGCTGGGCTCTCTCTGCCATCTGCCTCCTTCCACCGTCCTGTCCTGTCACATAAGGAGAGCACTAAGACCTCCATCACAATGTGCACGTGGCAGAGAGTTGACCTGTGCTACAACTGAAGACTTCAGGATGGAGTTCTACTGGTTTGGTTTTGAAAATGGAAGTTTTCAGGTGATTGCTAACTTTGTAGTGCTGTCACTCACAGCTCATTTTATTCTGTTTAATTGGCCCTCTGCTTCCCCAGTTAAGAAACAGAGGCAATACTGCTCTTAGGTTACACAGTCAGTCATGAAGTAAGGTCTTAACCTCTAGGCTCCTTCCAGGCCACGAGCCTGCCCCAATCTCTCGCCCCTTCCTGTGCAGAAAGAAGTCCAGTCTCTCAGAACAGACGTATCCTGTGACAAAATGTAGGTGGGAAGCAGCTCTGCAATGATAGGAATCACCCTGGGACCCAGTAAAACCCTTTGGCTAGGGCACCCTAAGAGACTCTGCTGAACCCAGAGACCAAGCCTTATATCACCCTAGGACGTGGGCCCAAGAGGAAAAAGGAGTTACTTTGTCTCCAAGCCCCCTTTCTTCCTTTTAAGATTTATTTCCTCTACTCTGTTCCCACTGTTCCAGCCTGGTCCAAGACTCTGGCTGCCTCCCACCTGACTACAGTTGTTTCTGGTGGGTCTTCTGTAGCACATCCTGAGCCTCTCCTTTCACAGGCCCCGAGGGCAGTAGAGGCAGCATAGCAGAGTGGTTAAGAGCTTATGTTTACTTCTCCTATAATTTCAATTCCATCCAGTCCCCAACCACTACTAATTTTTTCTGATTAGCCTTTGTAGCCCAATTCCAAATGAAACCTATAATTTGTAACCCTCCAACTGTTTCACTATCCCTCATTCTCTCCCTTACTCAGCTCATATTCTATAAGCCATCATTCTTATCACTTCTTGCATATACTTTCTTTTCTTTCCTTTTTATTTTTTTGAGACAGGGTCTCAGCTCTGTCACCCAGGCTGGAGGGCAGTTTAGCGATCTCAACTCACTGCAGCCTCAACCTCCCCACTCAGGTGATTCTCCCACCTCAGCCTCCCGAGTAGCTATGACTACAGGCATGTGCCACCACATCTGGCTAACTTTTTGTATTTTCTGTAGAGATGGGGTTTCACCACAATGCCAGGGCTGGTCTTGAACTCCTGGGCTCAAGCAATCCATCTGCCTCAGCCTCCCTTAAGTACTGCAATTATAGGCATGAGCCACCAGGCCCAGCGGACTTTCTTCTTTTCATCCACTGATTTTACCTGGCTAAACTTGAACCTAATTAGATCCAACTCCCCATCTGCTCTGTTCCTGCACCTAAGCAACTGAATGTGACTGAACAAAAATACAACAGGTTGATGGTCTCACTTAAAATCTACAATCACAAGGGCCCTGGGACCATCCACCCAGCAACCCTATTATACCTGTCAGGCCCATCACCTACTCTTCCCTCTCCTACAGGACTATTTCATACTCTCTGAAATATTTATTGGGTGTGACTGATCTCAGGTTCCTACCACTAGAAAAATAGGAAAAAGTACACAGATCTCACAGGGCTTTTTTTTTTTTTTTTTTTTTGAGACGGAGTCTTGCTCTGTCGCCCAGGCTGGAGTGCAGTGGCCGGATCTCAGCTCCCTGCAAGCTCCGCCTCCCAGGTTTACACTATTCTCCTGCCTCAGCCTCCCTAGTAGCTGGGACTACAGGCGCCCGCCACCAGGCCTGGCTAGTTTTTTGTATTTTTTAGTAGAGACGGGGTTTCACTGTGTTCGCCAAGATGGTCTCGATGATCTGACCTCGTGATCCGCCCGTCTCGGCCTCCCAAAGTGCTGGGATTACAGGCTTGAGCCACCGCGCCCGGCCCTCACAGGGCTTTTGTAAGGATTAACATGCATATCAAGTGCTTAGCACAGAGCTAGACACACAGAAAGTGCTCAGAGAATGTTACCTCTATTATCGTTTCCCCAAAGCAGGGCTCTACTTAAATTTCTGCTCTGATTGAGGATCTATCATGAAACAATTATCCCGTCTACAGAGGAGCAAACAAAGACTTACAGAAGATTAGTAATCTTTCTGAAGTCACATGGCTTATGAACAAAGTTGGGATTTGAACCCAGAACTGTCTGAACTCCAGAACCCACACCCTTAGCATCCATGCTCTGCTGCTTTATGGCCCCAAGGCCAACCTTCTGAATCCAGCTTAAGGTTTTAAATTCCGAAGTTCTATTTCTGAGTCAACCCACTCACCCTTCTTGTACCTCCTTCTCCTGGGAGAGAATACAGAAGAGTGGGTTTAGGTCACCACCCCTTAAACATGCCCCATGACCTTTGCTAGCTGGTCCTTGTAGGCCCCCTCATCTTAGACTACCACTCCCCTGCACCTGCCCCAAACTCGTCAACTCTCCTATACAAGGCTTGACTCCTTGGCGAAGCAACGCAGATGTCCAGAGATTCCTTCTTTCTCTGAACTCCTCCAGTACCAGACTGGCCCATCCTGCTTTATGCTCCCTCACAAAGACTGCGGCTTCTGCCCCTCTCCCACTCAGTGTCTCATAAAGAACAGGAAGGAGCTTGGGCCGGGCGCAGTGGTTCACGCCTGTAATCCCAGCACTTTGGGAGGCCAAGGTGGGCAGATCACAAGGTCAGGAGATCAAGACCATCCTGGCTAACACAATGAAACCCTGTCTCTACTAAAAATACAAAAAATTAGCTGGGTGTGGCAGCATGTGCCTGTAGTCCCAGCTACTCGGGAGGCTGAGGCAGGAGAATGGAGTGAACACGGTAGGCGGAGGCTGCAGTGAGCGAGACTGCGCCACTGCACTCCAGCCTGGGCGACACGAGTGAGACTCCGCCTCAAAAAAAAAAAACAAAACCAGGTAGGAGCCCAATGGATGACCTCACTGATCAGTCAAAAGGGAGGCACTGGGTTGGAGACTGGAAACACCATGGTTTCCATCAGGGAATAGGTTAGAGGTGAGGTGGGGTTCATTTCCCATCCACTGTGGCAAACCAGTCCCTTCCTGGGCCAGCAGGCCAGGCCTTACCTGCCGGGCAAGCTTTGTGGCTGTGGCTGGTGCTGAGTGTTAGCAAAGACAGGAGGATGCGTGTGTGAAGTGTGCAGGTGGTGGGGGGACTGGGAGGGGGGCGGTTCTTAGTGATAATCAGCCATACCTGAAGTGGTATTTTGGATGTGGTAAAAAGGCTGACACCAAGGCTATCCTTGTCCTTTAATTCCTGCAGTTACAGAGGTTGCTCTTTGACATAAACTCAGAGTCTCCAGTCTAAAATTCCATTATACAGATAAGAAACTAAAGCTCCATTACTCAAGCTGGGTCACTGTAAGTTCATGGATGTTCATTTTATTCTTCTTTAAACTGCATGTATGAGTTTTGTTTATATATTTCATAATAATAAAGGCCTGGGGAAGCTGAATGACTTTCCTAAGGCTACACAGGACGAAGACCCTTTAACATCAATGTCACTGGGATTTCCAAGCCAGGGTAAGGTTAAATTGTCCAAAAAGATAGAAATTGGCACAGTGTGCTAGTTAAGGGCATGGGCTTGGAGTCAGACAGCCCTGGGTCTGGATCTGGGCCTCCTGGCCATGTGAACTTGGGCATTACCTAATCTAATATTTTTGGGCCTCATTTTTTTCATCTGTAAAATGAGGACAGTAATACTGAGAAATTAAGTGCCATATAACATATTTAGCATGGGATCTAGCATCAAACTTGTTTTGTTGACTCTTAAGATGCCAACAATTGTAAGATGCATTCTTATTTCAGAGATTAATGTGCAACTTAGAATGAAACATGTTAGCAAACAGTCAATATATAGCAGCTGTCATCACTACTGGAAATGAAAAAAATCTGCTCATAGTATTCTAAAAAGGGACAAGGAGACAAATCTGCCTTGGGAGGTGGCCCTGACCCCACACAACAATGGGCTTAGACCTCTAGACCTACCTTTTTTTTTTTTTTTTTTTAAATTTTAGTTTTTGAGATGGAGTTTCGCTCTTCTTACCTAGGCTGGAGTGCAATGGCGCGATCTCGGCTCACTGCAACCTCTGCCTCCTGGCTTCAAGCGATTCTCCTGACCCAGACTCCCCAGTAGCTGGGATTACAGGCATGTGCCACCATGCCTAGCTAATTTTGTACTTAGAGACAGGGTTTCTCCATGTCGGTTAGGCTGGTCTCAAACTCCCAACCTCAGGTGATTCGCCCACCTCGGCCTCCCAAAGTGCTGGGATTACAGGCATGAGCCACCACTCCCAGCCCAGACCTACCTTTCTTTCCATTGTTGGAGGGTGTAGACTTCCCACTGTCCGAGTTCAGCTCAAACACCCGTAAGTCTGTGGGAGCCTCCTCCCTCAGAGTCTCTACTCTGGCTGGAGGCCTGGGTTCTGGGCCGCTGGGGTGGCCAGCAGGGGTTAGGGGCTTGGAGTGAATAGGGGGCGGGGGTCCAGTCTCGCCCACATCCACAGCCAGGCCCTGTTCCTCCAAAGATGCCTCTAGCAGCTTTTGGGACAGGTCCTTGGGCAGCACTGGTGCCTCAGGTGCAGCGGCCGGGTTAGCAATCTGTGTCACGAGGGAGACGCTCTCGCTGCTCTCTGATGGAGTCACCTCTGCTGGGGGCTCAACTGAGGTCACCAGATTCTCTTCACAGGGGCTCTGGGGGCCAGGTCCTCCTTCAGGGAATGTAGAAGTTTTGGTCACAGGAACCTTTGCCTCTTTTGGAGATGTGGGTGAAATGCCCATGAGCTCCTCTGTAGAGAGAGAAAGGGAGGGGCAAGAGGGGAATGTACCCTGGCCAGCCCTAAGACAACCTTGGGGCCGGGCGCAGTGGCTCACGCCTGTAATCCCAGCACTGTGGGAGAACGAGGCGGGTGGATCACCTGAGGTCAGGAGTTTTTGAGACCAGCCTGGCCAACATGGTGAAACCCTGTCTCTACTAAAAATACAAAAATATTAGCTGAGTGTGGTGGCACATGCCTGTAATCCCAGCTACTCGGTAGGCTGAGGCAAGAGAATCGCTTAAACCCAGGAGGCAGTGGTTGCAATGGGCCAAGATTGTACCACTGCACTCCAGTCTGGACGACAGAGCAAGACTCTGTCTCAAAACGCAAAAAAAAAAAAAAAAAAAAAGACTCAATAGTGTCATTTAGCTCTCCCCTTTGCCATCACAATGCTTCTGCAGACACTCCCTGCTAGTCAAAAGTCCTGCTCAGCCCTGGGGCCTAATGCCTGGTGGGCTTCCAGCAATGCAGTTCAAGGGGCTGTTATGGATTAGAAAGCCAAGGCTCAGAAGTGAGTCAGTTTTGGGTTCAGGTTGGGCTCTGCTACATCCTAGGTATATGATTGGGCAAGTCACCTAACTTTTACTCTTAACTTACTTTTATCCTTAAGAGGGGTAATAGGGTGGTGGTAAGGACTCTGTGTAAAGCTCTTAGTGCAGCCTCGACATATGGTGTAAACACTTAAGAAATGCATTAATATTATATCATCCAGAAGGCTCCAACGTGCTGTTATAAACTGAGCTACAGGTAGAGGATGCACAGCTCCCTCCCTAACTCAGTGGTTCCCAAACCAGCCTGTGCATTAATATTCCCAGGGAGCTTGTTTAAAATACATGTCTGGCCGCTTCTTTACAGTCTTCTTTAGAAGGTGGGGAAGGGAATCTGGATTTTCAAGAAGCTCCCCAGTGACTAGGCGGCAGCTGGTTCATGGGCTGGCAGGGGAATCTACACCAACTGACACATGGGATTTCTGTAGCTAAATCGGAATTCCACTAGCCTTGTTCAATATCTCCTTGTTAGCTCCGTCTATCCTCAGCACATACAATGTGCTCGTTCCCTACTCTTCCCTGATGGGCGCCAAGTCTCTCCAGGCTTCAGAAAGCATGGCCCAGCCCAGAGTGTCCCACACAGATGTGTCACTTGCCCTTCACCTCTCAACGCCTCTTACCTTCCTCCTCCTCCCAGCCAGGCTCTTCAGAGATGCTCTGTTCCGCCCGCTGCTTCAGGGCGTCCCTCCGGGCCTGCTCCTGAATGTGGGGGAGCAGATGGACACAGGAAGTCAGGGCACCCTCTTCCCAGATCCTGGTCCTGATCCCACAACTCTTGGCACCCTGTATCCCTTTCTTCTCTCAATAAATCCAGCCTGCTTCCCCCAGGGTTGAGTGGGGACCTCCCCAGGCTAGACCAGCGTACCTGCTCTAGCTGATGGACTTTATAGAAATACCGATGCCAGAATTCTGAATGGGAAACAGCTGCTGGAACCTGGAGGGAGGGGAAAATGGAGGTGAGACTTTGGGAGTATTTGTGTGGGGTCTGTGTCCCCACCCTTATCAGTCTATTCCCAGCAAGTCTATCAGACCCAGTAAGTGGCTTAGCAGTGATAGAGCACTTCCATCCTGACCAAAGTTTTGGCCAGACCCACCTTCCTAGTCCAGGTTGGCCAAGGAGGGAGAAAAGAACTCCCATCAGGCTTTGCTGGCCCTTTCATTTCTCACCATTCTCTGACTGCCAGAAGCCTGGCAAACCAGCTTCTCCCATGTGAGTTCTCGGCTCAGGATATGGCTGGTCTGGCTCTATGGAGCCTCCCAGTGCTCTCCGAGCCAGATGACGCCACAGTGACTCTGAACATGTCCCTCCCACCTCCCAACACCTCAAGCCTGGAGCTGGCTGAGGCCCTGCAGACTGGGCCCTCACCATCTTGGTGTAGAGGGCCCGGATAGAGGGGCTGCCTACAAGGAGCTCTGAGATCTCCCCCTTCTTCTCCTCCAAGCAGAACTGGGAAAGCCAGGCGTCAAACAATTCCGGGGGCCCTGCAGAGGGACAGATGCTGACAGTCAGTTCCCTTGGTCTGGGGAAAGAACACTGGGCCTACAGAATATACCTAAGGCTGGACATGGAAAATGAAGAAAGCTTGTGTGTTCAAAGCCACTTAGCCAAGGGTAGGGGGTCAGGCAGGGTGAAGGGGCGGGTGTGCACCTGAGTGATCTCCAGAAGAGGCTGCAGTCTCCATGTTCTCATATCCCTGCTCGCTTTTTAGCCCATGGCACCTGGCTACTGAGTCTCCTCATCTCTGAAACAGCTGCTCTTAGGTCACATGACCCCAGCTGCCAGAGCCAACATCTATTTCTCTGTCTTCCCTCTTGTGACCATCTCTGACTCTGGGGGCCATTGCCTTCCTCCCGAAGCCCTCGTCTCTCCTGGTTTCTCACTCCTTTGTTATTTTCCTCCACTTCTCTGGTTGGTCCATTTGAGTCTCTGTGGGTTTTTTGTTTTCCTTTCCTTTCCATCTCTCTCTGGCTTTTTTTTCCCCCAAAATAATTGCCACTAAACCACAAGTTTCAACCTCATCCTCCCACTGTGTCTCTCTTTGCAGCCCAGGCTACTCTCTTGGCCCCAGATCCAGAGTTCCAAGTACCCCCGATACTTCTACCTGCAAACACACCATGCGCTCATTTTCCTTCCCACCTGATTATCTGACAGGGTTATCCAATCTGGGGGCCATCCTATCTCCTCCCTTATCCAATCACTCTAGATCACACTTCCTCAGTTGTCTCTTTTTTATTTTTTAAGAGATAGAGTCTTGCTCTGTCACCAGACTGGAGTGCAGTGACACAACTGTGGCTCACTGCAACCTTGAATTTCTGGGCCCAAGTGATCCTCCTGCCTCAACCTTCCAAATAGCTGAGGCTACAGGCACACCATCACGCCTGGCTAACCTGTGTCTTTTATATGCACACTGTCCTCTCCATGCCACCTGACTCTTCCTAGGTTTTGGCCTTACCTCTGACACGGGATTCCTACCTAGCCTCCTAACTGGTCTTCCTGTCTTCTGTCTTTCTATTTCATTCTTTACAATGCTGCCCCAAGGGCTGCTTTACAAAATGCAAACTCTGATCACCCCAGGCCTCAAAAACTTTCACTGGTTCTCTGTGGGAGGCCTTTTTAAGCTGGAGTCCAAGATGGGCTTCAAAGGGTTAAAGAATTCCCATATTGCACAAAAAGTTTTGTGGAGAGAGGGCTTGTCATTTTCAATAGATTTTTAAAGGCCTTTGTGACTAAAGAGAGGTCTAGAGCTACTACTGTGAGTCTTTTAGGCCAAAATTCCAACTGCCTGGTCTGGCACACCAAGCCCTTCACAATCTGGCTCCCATGAGCTGCTCTCATTGCCTTCACTTCCTCATATGCACCCTTTAACCTAGCGTTACTAAAAGGTGGGGTGCTCCCTGCTCTCTCTCCCAGCAATCTTTGCCTGAATGCCCTTCCCCACTTCTCATAGTGAAGTTAACTGACGTCTCATTTAACCTTAAAACTCCAACTCTGTCCAGGTGTGGTGGCTCATGCCTGTAATCCCTGCACTTTGGGAGGCCGAGGCGGGTGGATCACCTGAGGTCAGAAGTTCGAGACCAGCCTAACCAATGTGGTGAAACCCCGTCTCTACTAAAATTACAAAAATCAGCTGGACACAGTGGCAGGCGCCTGTAAGCCCAGCTACTCGGGAGGCTGAGTCAAAAGAACTGCTAGAACCCGGGAGGTAGAGGTTGCAGTGAGCCGAGATCGCGCCACTGCACTCCAGCCTGGGCGACAAAGTGAGACTCCATCTCAAAAACAAACAAACAAAACCCAACTCCAGCATCACCTGCTTGGTTCCCAGACCAGGAAAGGTGCCATTCCTCTGGGCTCCCACTGTCCCGCTGCTCTGTAGAAGCAGTCATGCTGCTCTCTAGTATTTCTACTTTATTCACTGTTTCTGCTTTCTCCCTCTTAACCGCTAGTTCCTGGAGGGCTGGACTAGGTGGAGGGTTTGGCTCATTTCTGATCTCCAGTTTCCATCATGGGGTTTGCTGCATGGCAGGGGTTTAGCCAACACAAGCTGAAGAGAAGGCAAGTGGGGCAGCAGGGCTGGGAGGGAGGCTGAGCTAGGGATGAGGGATGAGACGGGCCAAGTCCCTGCAGGGTGGGCAGGACAGCTCAAGTTCAGGAAAGAAAAGAGAACATCAACCCAATCCACACGGTATAAGGTACACACTAGTCTCACTCTGGTCCCCCTACATAGCGGGTGCCTGGCCTCTGCTACCTGAGACAAACAGGGCCTACAACCAGACCCCCTTAGTCTACTTGCCCTACAAGCCCACCCCCTCACTGCTACCCTCTCACCATCTGGTTCATTGCAGTAGGTTGCTGGGTCCGACTGCAGGCTATAGAGGCGAGCCTGTAAGAAACAGAGAAGAGGAAACAGAAATCCTGAGATGCTGGGCATAGAAAGCACCCTTTCTCTGCCAGGATACTCAGTCAACCACAACCCAGCTTCTCCCTTGTTGGCTGGGATACCCCCAGGGCACTTGTTAATTAGCACTGTGGCACGGAGAGTGGAGCACTAGGCTGGGCATCCAAAACTGGGGTTCCCAGAAAAATGGCCTTTCACCCAGTATTCTACCCCAGGAGCTAAGAAAATACAGCATAAGCAGGCTACAAAATTATTTGTAAAATGCTTTGTAGTAGTGAAATTTGAAAAATGTTAGTGCCCATATATTAATAAAGTCAAAATTTAGGGATAAATTTTAAAATAACACAATTTCCCTCCAATTAAAACCATTCAAGAATTTATTAATTGTATAGCCAGTCTCTACCAAGTTACGTTCTCACTGGGACCACAGGGTGGCAAACTTAGCTGGCAAAGATGAAGTCCACCTTTCTTCCTCAGTATTACAGGAAGCATGGGCTGTCTGTAAGTGGTTTTGGTGATAATTCACTGTCATTATGGCTCAAAATCTTATCAAACATTTTCACAATTCCACTCACAGGTTCACTAAGTGGTGGTGCTAATACTAGTGCTTGTTGATACATACTTGAAAAATCAGTACTTTTGGAACAGAAGTTCAACATGGGCCGGGTGCGGTAGCTCACGCCTGTAATCCCAGCACTCTGGGAGGCCGAGGTGGGTGGATTGCTGGAGATCTGCGGTTCAAAACCAGCCTGGCCAACATGGTGAAACCCCGTCTCTACTAAAAATGCAAAAATTAGCTGGGCATGGTGGTGCATGCCTGTAATCCCAGATACTCAGGACGCTAAGGCAGGAGAATCACTTGAACCCAGGAGGTGGAGGTTGCAGTGAGCCAAGATCACTCCACTGCACTCCAGTCTGGGTGACAGACAAAGACGCCGTCTCAAAAAAAAAAAAAAAGAAGTTCAATGTGATAAAATGCTACAAAGCCAGCCTAGGCAACATGGGGAAATCCTGTTTCTACAAGTATAAAAATTAGCTGGGCATGGTGATGTGTGCTTGCAGTCCCAGCTGCTCAGGAGGCTGAGGTGGGAGGAGCACCTTAGGAGATGGAGGCTGCCGTGAACTGTGATCGCACCACTGCACTCCAGCCTGGGGGACAGAGTGAGAACCTATTTCAAAAGAACAAACCACAAAGAGGGCCCCCAGCTGCCATGACATTATATTGTAAATTTAGAAGAAAACTCTCCATGAAATAGAAAACACAATGTAGCCAGGCGTGGTGGCTTATGCCTGTAATCTCAGTACTTCAGGGGGCTGAGGTAGGAGGATCACTTGGGCTCAGCGGTTTGAGACCAGCCTGGGCAGAATAGGGAAACCTCGTCTCTACAAAAAAAAAAAAAAAAAAA